GTAGCAACAGTTGGGACCACTCTCTTGGTGGGTTTTACACCGTTCTCTCCTTCTTTGTATGGCACCTTCCTGGAAGGAGAGCTCTCTTCAATGCCCGTGGTGACGCCAGTCGTATCGGTCGTATCGGCGGCGCGGCCGGACCACCACCACCACCACGACCACCACCTTGCAACCCCCTCCCCCCTTCCCTCCCCCTCCACCCAATCTGCAGGAGCCTTGCGTCTGCCACTGACAGGCGCGGCCCGCCGCCGCCGCCGCTTTGCCGCCTTGAAAAGCCCTCCTGCTCTCCTCGCAGGAAAAGGGGGGGGGGGGGCTCGGTTTGTAATGACTTTATTTAAAGGGGTGAAACAGGGAGAGCGGAGCATTATTGCCACTCTGCGCGCTTAATTAAAACAGGGATCACTCCTCTCTCACTCGCGGGGGCGCTGCGGCGGCGCGTGGCCTGGTATTTAGGGGAGGGGGCTGACATTGAGACCCACCCCTATCGCTTGGTTGCGCAAGAAGGAGGAAGAAGACAAAGAGCGCCGTCTGGGCTGCTCGGTAGGCAACATGGTTTGCAGCCTCCCGCCCTTTGGGCGAATGGCACGACCTTTCCCTGCTGCTGGGGCCTGCACACCGCCAAGCTGGCCAGGAGAAATAGAATTAATAGGGTTGAAAAATTTCCAAAATTTTCTGGAAAAATTTCGAAAAATTACCGAAAATTTCCCAAAATTTCCTGGAATTTTTCCAGGGCTTCCAACTCTAAGCCAGAAACATGGAAACCATGATGACAGTGCCGTGGCAGCAGGGGCGACCAAAAATCTAGTTGGGACTCTCGCCAGTGTCCCCGTGACGTCGTCACCCCCTTGCCGTGAGAGGGACTTGTAAATGCAATACTGCGTGGGGCGGCGAGACTAGAGGTTTTGAGCGCCCGGCCCGCACAGTACTGGGGACTAATTCGCTGTAAAACGTCGTGAACGTCGTAATACTGCCGGTCTCTGTAGGCTGGGCCCGCCGGCGCGGTCGCGGTGTGGTAGGGGTGGGGGCGAGGGCGAGGGGAGGCAGTGAGTAGCTCCGGGCGCTGCGGCCCCCCTCCCCCCCAACCGCAATGGTATTACGCTCGTCGTGTTTGAAAATTAGGATGGCGCAACTAAGCGAACGATATGCGCAGTTCGGTACTGCGTCTGCCCTTCCCTTCCTTTGTGTGAGGGGGGGGGGGAGTCCAAAACCTGGGTAAAGAGGATGGAAAAGTTTCGTTCACCTTTGCAGGGGTGCAGTGTGGACACGGGAGGTGTGCAGTATGCAGGCTGCCACGTCGCCGTTGTTGAGTTGACGGCGCCTGCAATGCGCTGCGTAGGCCAGCCCGCCGAACAGCCGCGTTGAGCCGGCGGCCCTCCCTCCCGGATCTTAGAAACGTCCGCTGTTCGCAGCTACACAGTTTGAAGCAACAGCGTCGATGGCCCAATGCAGTGCGCGCCAGTATCTTGATGTCGTGTTAAGCAAAGCTAAACTTTTTTGCAATTGTACGGGGTGGTGCCCCTTTTTCCAGAGGGTCGCAAACGCCCCTTCGTTCTTCCGCCCCCGCTCCCAGCCCCCTCCACC